GGTTCTCAACAAAGTCATCATCTCTATCTTTGTGGGTGCGACTTTGAATTTCATCGAGAAGATTATCATTCAGCTGATAGCTATTTCCTTCCACTTGCGAACTTATGCCGACCGGATTGAAATCAACAAATTTCAGATTGGCAGCCTGACGAAACTCTACATCTTCTCCAAGGCCAAAATTGCCATGGAAGATGCAGAATTCGAAGAAAAACACCTGGAGCCAGGGTCGGGCACAAAAACACCTGCCCTTTATGCCGCGCATGCTCAGGAAGCTCTCACCAAGGCCTTTGCTAAAGTCGGTGATGTGGCTGGCACAGTCGCAGGTGATTTTACTGGGAAGAAGGTGGCAAAAAGCGGCCACCCTTCTCAGGTCGTCTTAACCCTGCTCAACAGCACTAGCGGCTCGCAGGTTCTGGCTCGACGTCTGTATCGAACATTCGTGCGAGAGGGCTTCGAGACCGTGTCGTCAGAAGACCTGAAGGCGGCCTTTGACAATGAAGAGGAAGCCGAGGCAGCGTTCAGCATGTTCGACAAAGATATGAACGGAGATATTTCCATGGAGGAACTCGAAGCCGTCTGTGTCGAAATCGGAAGGGAAAGAAAATCAATCACTGCTTCCCTCAAAGACCTCGACTCCGTCGTCAGCAAGCTTGACGATGTTCTGTTTTTCATCGTGTGTGTCGTCACCATCTTGGTCTTAATCTCTCTCATTTCTACCTCAGCAGCCGGGGTCTTGACTTCAGCTGGCTCAGCCGTCCTCGCTTTATCTTGGCTATTTTCCGCTACTGCCCAAGAGTTTCTACAGTCCTGCATCTTTGTCTTCGTCAAACATCCCTTTGATGTTGGAGACCGAGTTTCAATCTACGGCAACACTGGGTCTTCCCTTAAAGGAGATGACTACTTCGTCAAGGAAATCTCGTTGTTGTATACAGAATTCAAGAAGATGGAAGGCCACATTGTCCAAGCGCCGAACTCCTATCTTAACACGTTGTTCATCCTGAATATGCGGCGCTCTGGAGGGCTTGCTGAAGCTGTTCCGATTGTCATCCGATTCGGTACCACTCTGGAACAGATCGAGGCCCTGCGCAATTCGCTACTCGAGTTTGTGCGATCTGAGAAGCGTGAGTACCAGGGCAATATTTTGACCGAACTTAGGGAGGTGACCGAAGCGTATTCTCTCACTTTGAATGTTGTTTTCTTCTACAAGTCGAACTGGCAAAACGAGCTGCTTCGTCTTCAGCGACGGAACAAATTCATCTGTGCTTTGATGGTGGCTATGCAGGAGATTGGCATTGAAGGTCCTCGTCGCAACCAAGCTGGTTGGCGACCAGATGTGCCGTACTTTATGCAGCTGCCTCCTGGCGCTCCACCTCTCATCGGCGGAAATGCCAACGAACTGCAACCCGGTCATGCTTCAGGAAGTATCACTGGAGATCCGCTCCACCACACTCCTGCGGCTGCGGCGCCTCCGCTTCAATATCCTTCCATCTTGCGACGACGACCCAGCACTGGTCAACTCGGACGACCTAGAGGCGAGTCTCTGTCGGCTATGGCCAGGAGAGTGGATTTTTCGTTGGGTATGAAAGACGTGAGTTCCGGAGAGCAACTCTCGGATGTGTACGAAGACCGCAGTCGTCCGAATTTCGAAGAGGTGATTCGCGAATCCAACAGGATTGAGGAGGAACGAAGGATCTCGGAATCCCAAGAACGCGAAAGCCACGGAAGGTCAACGTCCCGCGAAGGACACACGATGAGTGGCATTCTGCGGCGCTCGACCACCCAGAGCTTGGGCGGTAACAGCAGAGTGTCTATGAGTGGCCATCATCGGGCCTCGATCAGTAGCACCGAGACACATCGCAACCGCTTCCTGGGCCGCTTCAACCGCCCCGGTCGAAGCATCGATCTTCCACGCGACTCCCTAGCGGAAGAAGGTCAAGCTCCGCCCATCGCATCCCAGCCGCCCTTGGATGCGAGATCTGGTAAAGTCAGCTCGCAGGCAGTACGGGTGGACTCGATCGCATCTCAATCCAACGAGAACGAGCCGTTTCCGTCCATGGCTCCAGTGCGCAGCAGGGCAGAGGACTTTGAGTTGAGAAGGCTAGGCGGTGAGGGTCCGTCCAGCCACCCGCACTGAAATCGCAGACGTCCTCTCCTCGATCCCATTCTTTTGTCTGATGGTGTACGTTGATCCCCCTCGGGTGTGGAAGACTCGGTTTTTCTGGAAACAAAAGTTCTGCTGCTGGTGGGTGGCCTCCACGGGTGTTCGGGCCTGGGCGCGCCTGGATTGGAGGCTGCGAGATATATTTACAATCTTCGATTATGTATAGACACGTTATGAAGTGGTCTGATTCGACTACGCGGTGATGACTACCTATAGAGATAGAATTTTATGAACGGACGAGATTTGGCGTCTGACAAATTCACAAGGCCACAGAAATTGGTGTTGGTTTTACCTTGCAAGATTTCTGGGGACTACGATCAAGACAAAGACGATGAGACGAGACTAGGACCAGAAACACTTGGTCTAGCGCATGATTTACCAATGAATGTATCGACCTTGAGCTGTCGGTGCTATGTGAGTGGCTAATCTGACGTGTATCGATGTACTCGGTAAGTGAGAGGCTGACTCTATGTGTCACGTGTGGACCTCAATACCCAGCCCGGCAATTTATCTGAATTCGGCCTAGTTTTCGCCTTAACAACTTGTCTTCGCTGCCTTTCTTTCGACGTCCGGGTCGGTGAAACAAGTTATGACCGTCCTACGCCGCCCCCAGCATTGGACCCAACTGCCCCTTTCAAACCAAGTCACTGTGAACAACATCTCTTGTGCCAGCTTTCCCGTGTGCCACGCCTCGTCTGTAACCTTTCCTGTGGGCTGGATTCGGTCAGTCCTGATGGCCGTGCCCACGGCACGTCTCTGATATTTCCTGTCTGGGTAGCCACAGTACTTGGTTGTCGAGACCTGAGGGGCCCTTCTGTCCTTGGCCCACTTCACGATAGCACCGGCCAGCCCGCCAGACCAATTGTGAAGGCGGGTGAGTTGGCGATTTCGTCAGCTTTGGCCTTCATTTCGTCCACGTCCCAGTTCGCCCAGATAAGCTTGTTCTTCAGGAACTTGGCTTCGGGGCTGCATGCCCAGACTGCGAACGAAGCTGGCAAGTCGGCTGGTATCGAAGGGCGTATAAGTTAGCGAGGGGTTATTCCGACGTATTCGGGCGGGGTTGACCCCGGCTCCTTGGGCCATTGACTCAACGAGACACGATGGTGGGAGTGACTTACGCGTATCCATAGGTGCCATGGCACCATGTTTGATGTTGATATCGCTTGAAACGACGCCCGGCTGGAAACTGACCACATGCAAATCCGGGTGCTCACTCTGGACGAACTCGAAGAACCTAAGCGATGCGAGCTTGGAGGAGGAGTATGCTGACAAATTGGTCACCATAGCGGTGGGGACGTGGATAGCGGCCGTCGAGACGTTGATGATTGTGGCGGTGGGCGATCCTACAGGGAGGAAGGCTCGCACGGAGTGGAATGCCCCAAGGATGTTCACTTCGAAGGATGTCCACCATTCCTTAGCATCGGAGGCCGTAAGGGTCGCGGGCTCAGCCAGATGGCCCGCGTTGTGGACAAAGATGTCGATCGGTTTGTTGGCCTGTTGTCGAATGGTTTTGAAGGCAGCTTCGATACTCGAGGGAGAAGCTATATCCGCTGTCACGGCGACAAGCTTTGTATTTGGGTACTGAGACTCGAATTTGGCCTTGGTAGCGTCCAAGGTCTTCTGTGTTCGTCCCACAATGCCAACAAGACTGACACCGGCCTTTGCGAAAGCATTGACCATAGCAGAGCCGATTGCGCCCGCGCCACCAGTCACAATTGCGGTCTTGCCCTCGAGTGAAAGTTCGGGGCGTGAAGGGTCAATACCAGAGTAGCTATCATTGTGCCAGGTCGGGAAGGGAGATGGGAGTGGAGTGGCAGCGGCGTCGCCCATTTTCGTTTAGAGATGCTGATGATTTCAGGTCAAAGGTACGCAGCTTCGAGGTATGGTTTTTTTTATTTTTTTAATTTTTTTTTTTTTGAAAGAGTGAAGCAGACTTGATGAAACACGCTGGGCTGAGGAGAGGACATGCCGGCGATATATACCCTTGGACAGGCTGACAAAGCTATACAACTTAGGAAAGCATTGCCTATTATGCAGACAGTCATTTCAAAGCTGGGCGAAGGACCACCTGGACGGAAAGAATCCGGTCATCAGCTGACGCTCTCGGAACCTCTTATCTGATTTGTTCTATGTTCCACACGTGGCTGTCATACATACACATACGATGTGGGCCGTTATCTTCTAGGGCAAGGCTGCAGCCTCGTCAGGGTCGACCTGATGGGGCCAGATGTTAATAGGGCTGGGACTGGTATCATTCAGCCGCGACCTGATCAACCCAACAGACAAGGCTGATGAATGGAAAGGTTGGCTTTGCAATATCGCCGACAAGGTATTGAAGACGCCCACTTGGGTCATGATGGGGATGGGAAGCCACCGCCACGCCATGAATATAACCACTCTAATCAAGCCCATGGTTGGGACCCAGGATGGTGGTACCTTTTGACCCCTGAAAACAGAGAGTATCCAGGGTTTGAAAGTAAGAGTGATGTACAGTCTCTGGTGAAAAGCAGTGACATGACCTGATCTCTGGATGTCTTCACTTACAAGCTTGCTGCCAGACCTCAAGGTGAGAGATCAGTGAGTTTGGGCAAAGTGAAGGTCGACCTGGTGACACTTTCGCCAAGTGAAGTTGAAGTTGCCCTCAATTGATTTTGTCGAGAACAAAACTCCTTCTTCCTCTTCATTCCTTCTCCCTTCTTCCTCGTCACCCTCACTGCTGCTTTCTTCATCAATCGCTTCTCCTCTCGCAAGTCACTCTTTTCCCCACAAACAACACCTTTTGCTCTGAACTCGCTCACTCCTGGGGCAAGCCTCTCCCGGCAGCTGCCTCACCAACATCATGGAGGTCAAGATGAAAGGTGCGTCTTCATGGCGATGTCCTGTGATGGCGCAGAGTAAGAGACTAATGTGACACTTTGGCAGGTTGGCCTCAAGCGGCAATCCTTTATCTCACCTTCATCCTCTGCTTCCTTGCTGGTTTCCTTGATGCTGGTCCTCTTCAGCCCACCAAAGGCCACACCTCCATCGTCCGCAGCTGGCATCACACTCCCACTTCTCACCACGGTCATCATGTTCCTACTCATACTGCTCCCAACGAGATTGCAGTCCATCAGACTCATGACATGGACTCGTCTGCCTCATCACTCGAGCACCTATCCACCATAGAGCATCGAAACACCGACATGGCTCTCCACAACTATGCCCTGGTCTGTGATGACAGAGTGTGGACCACCATGTGTGCAGGTGTTGGTTACACTTGCAGCTCTTCGGGCAAGTTGAAATACAAACACAAGGACATTATGTGTCATGACATCTGCTCGTGCATTGACCTCGTCCCTGCGCCAAAGATTTGTGTCGTCAACAAAGCCTCCAAACAATGCTCAGTCGTCAATGACATGGTTCTGGATGCAACGAGTGGCGAGCTCCTTGGAAATGTCACTGAGTCAAGCATTCTTCCAGACGGCTCCTTGGACTTGACCACGACAGTCGCAAAGCGTGATACAGAACTCAGTCATGACCACGCACTCGTCTGTTACGACCGTACTCTTACAGGTCTGTGCCAGGCCTCGGCCCATGGCTATTTCTGCAACGCAAATGGGGTCGTCAAACACAAAGGCCAGGCAGAAGTCACTTGTGAGAGCCACTGTATCTGTGTCAACATCAGCCCGAGGCCCTGCTTCAACGTTCTAGGCAAGCATGTCGATTGTGGGTTCAAAGATAACACTGTCTTTGATACAATCGATGGTACCGCCCTCGGCAATCTCTCGGACGCCCAAGTCCTTGACAATGGCTCTCTGGACTTTTCACACACCAAGGCACTCGAAAAGCGCCATGACTACGGACTGATATGCCAAGACCGTGAGCATACTGCCTGGTGCGGCTCGTCGTATCAGTATTACTGCACTGCAAGAGGTCAATTGAAGTTCAAGACCACCGGAGAACACTGGTGTGAGGAGCATTGTTTCTGCATGAACCTCAAGCCAGCAATTCAGTGCTTTCCAAACGCGGCTCTTCTCACCACATGCCTGCTCAAAGGGAAGTTAGTCTACAATGACAACGGCACTCTTCTGGGAAATGTTAGCGACGCATATGCCTACCCTAATGGAACCTTGGACTTCCGCAAAGTCGTTACCAGAGATTTGGACGTGGTATCAGCCGACCCACAAAAGATCATATGCAAGTCGCAGCAGTCCACTCAAGTGGCCCCTTTTTCCGGCGGATTACTATATGACAAAAATTTGACCACGTTCTGTGCATCCCATGGCTACTCATGCGCAACCGATCCCACGCGTGCAGCGCTGACCTTGACGTTGCAGCCTGGCTCAAAGGTCATTAAGGAGTGCGTTAACTCTTGTGCCTGCCAGTCACAAACTTGGAAGCGCGAAGGGAGCGAAGTACTGTCGCAACCTCCACAAAGCACCGGCGGAGTTACCATTCAGGACCTTCTCCTTGGCTGCAGTTCAAACAATGGGTTGACCAAAGGTACCTGGTCGTTTGACGAATCACTGACCCAGGACTGCAAGAACAAGGGCTATAACTGTGCCATTCTGCCTGGATCACGTTTCGTGTTGCAGCATTCTGGGGGTGTGGTTGCGTCTTGTCAAGCTGGTTGCAGTTGTCCGGCATCACCAACGCCCGCTGAGTCTGCTGCATCATCGCATCAGAAGGCAAGAGCCAGCACAGAGTCTGAAACAAACGACATGGCAGCTGTCCAGGCAGTCAACAAATTTGATCCCTTTGGCATGACCTGTGCGTCGCGTGGCAGAAACAACGAGACTCTTACCAATTACTGCCGAGACGAAGGTTACTCATGTGTTAGCCTGACGGGCACTTACCTACGAACTCTTTCCCACAATAGCACCGACATTCCTGAATGTACCCACGGCTGCCGATGCCGAAACCCCTTTGCTCGCGAGAAACGCTATGAAGATGTGGAAATGTCGGCGACTGCAGATGAGATTCCAGACACTACAGCCGTTGCTCCTCCCAGCGGTGTCCCAAGCCAATCATCCAGCAGTTTCGCTCTCAATTGTGGCAATGTCGCGGACGGCCCTGGCTTCTGCCAGCAGCCAGACCTGGGGTATTTCTGTGCCTACAACATGACGGTCATGCGGACGTCCAGTGTACAAAATCAAGGTGTGACATGGTGCGACTATTACTGCAGCTGCATCTTCAAGAACCCTGTCCCGTGTGTCAACGAATGGAATGTTCCCCTTTGTCGTGAGATGCCGGATGGGACCGTCCGTGATGCCTCGAGAATGCAAATTGTCCTTGCATATATCGAGAATGTGATCATCTTGCCCAACAACTCCATCTTGCTGGATCGCGGCCAGGACGGAGGCTTCCCCTTTGTCGTTGCATCGCATGGTCGACATGGGCCTAGCTCTAATGATTCTAGCCACCATTGGACGGATTGGCCGACAAATGGAACGAATGGAACAAATGGAACAACCAACGGGTTGAATGAAAGCGGACAAGGTGATAACTGAGCAATTTCAGTTTCTCAGCGTTGTGCTCGAGAGTCACAAAAGACATAACCGGATATTTGTGACAGCTCGGACAAGCGCCTTCAAGCATACCAATTTTGCCGCATGAATAGCAAACTTCTTGAGATACAATCACCACTCCACGCCAACCTCAAACGTCACTTACTCTGGGGATCTCCACATCGATACCACCATCAACAAGAAAACTCTATCTCAAGGTCTGGGATGAGGACTGGAGATATTGCGGGTCATTTGGACCTACAACATGAAAGATTGGTATGATGACGGACCATTATGGGAGAGACTGAGGCATACTGATAGATATGGCATTGGGAGAATGGTGGTTTGTTCTTGTCCATACTGAAACAAAAGAAATAGCCCTGAGACAGTCCAGGAAGTATGGAACGACAACACAAAACTAGATAACCGACATTGCCTGCCTCGGCCCTTGATCCCTGTTGCAAGTGTCGCAGTGTTTGAATTGCGTAAAGCGGGCGACAATGGATCAGGCCTTGAGTAGTGACTGCTTCTTACGCACTATGAACGCGAATGGCGAAGACGCCACCACGAAGGGTCTGTCTACAGAGATCTCAGGCTGTGCCAGCTCAGATATCGCACGTCTATCCCTATGCTCATACTCACGCTCGTGGTCTCCTTCTCCTCCTGCTGCCCCTTCACCACCTAGTGTATCTTGTAATGACTCCCCTCTCCTCGTCTGATGTCCTGGTCTGTAGCGGACACTTTACCGCGCTGCCATCTCAGCTCATCCCATCTCATCCCATCCCACCCCATCCCATCTGATCTGACCTGATCTCATCCCGTCTTGTGTTCGCGCAACGGGTCGGCATATCCTTTCGACCGTACACCGTGTGTCACAGTGTGACCGTGTCTTTTGAAGAATTTCATAAAAGGCTTGGGTCTGGATCTGGATCTGGATCTGGCTCAGAATCAGAGTCAGATTCAGGGTCAGCAGCAGCAGCAGCGGCAGCAGCGGCCGCCGGCGTCCAGCGTCGAGCGGCGATTTTTCTACTGGTATCCTATTTTTGTTGGATCATTTCTGATCCGTTCTTTAGTAGAATAGGTCCAGGACAGGGTTTAGGTGAGTTTCGAGTATATATCTACGTACGTACCTCCTAGAGAGCTGTTGGGATGGATACTCATTGCTGTGTGGGGAGGCAGGTTACTGGAAATGGGAAATGGGAAATGGGAAATGGGAAATGGGAAATGGGAAATAAATGAATCAACGGCAGGACGGGTAGATAGATTAAGAGGCGGAAAGGGTGACTCGAGGCAAGTAAAAGAAACCAAAACTGGTTGGTTTGGCACTTGTTGGCAGGATAAAAAGACCCAGGAAATCGGAATATGGCAGATAGATAGCAGGGGACAACTCTTCTTGCTGTTCGAAGTTATAAAAAAAAAGGAAGAAAGATACAGGGACAAACAGACTGGGTACATAACGCTGAATACCGCGGGGAACATTTGAGGAGGCCGGCTGGCCGGCATACACACTGGGACGTTCAAGTGTTCCAACGTATAGTTCTCTTCCAGCAGTTACACGCTTCACTCCGATAATCCGCATTTTCACAACCGACGCCAGCAATGTCATCTCCTGCGCACTCAGTCTTGCAAAGAACCGGCATCCCAACCAGTCCTCAATCAGCATGCTTTTTTCAATTCGTGACCGGCATCTAGTTATCTCAAGAGCAAATGTTTACCAGTCGTCATCTTCGTCACGATCCTTGTCTCTTCCACTCATCGCGCTCTGTCTTGCTCTCAGTGCCTCGGCCAGTCCACCAGCGAGACTGCCGCCTCCAAGACTGCTCGGCGTAGCCCGCCCAGAATTGCTCCCACTGTTCGTGCCCAGACCGACGGCACTATCTCTGGCCGGGGAGAGGTCCGGTTTCCTTGCTCCTGGGACCGGTCGTTTTGCAGGTGGTGCTGGCGGCGTGGGTTTGGCCCTACCACCAACGGGCGGTGTTCCAGGCTTGTGCCCACCGTTGACCACAACCGATGGTGTTGGAACCGGACGATGATGTGCAGCTGGAGGTGGAGGTGGCGGAGGTGCGGCGCGCGCCTGCTCAATCTCTTCGACGTAGGCAGACGGCGTCCAGCCTTGCGCCTGGGTGCGAGGGTTCTTGCAGAGCCACCAGCCTGAGCGATTTACGTTAGTTTCGATCCCAAATGTGGTCAAGAATGTCGATCATGCTTACCGTTGTTTTCCTTCTGCACAATCTCCACAATCTCTCCCGCCTCGACAGACAGCTCGTTCTCATTAGGAGAGTTGAAGTTGTACTTTACTTTAGCTTGGGGCTGGGAAGGCACTGCGGCAGGGGGTGCAGCTGGAGGCGGCGGTGGGGGCGGCGGAGCTGCTGTTCGACCATATGATGATGCAGAGTCATTTCGGGCGTGCGATGATGCGCCATTGAGCTGTTGAGGAAGTGCATGCGCAGCAGCAGGAGTGGGAACAGGACGCTGCGCTTGAACTGCGGGTCTAGGTGCCGGAACAGCTCGTCTCGCAGTAGTCTTGGACGGTTGGCCTCCTGGTCCCCCTGGTCTGAGCAGCTTACCAGTCGTAATAGGTCTGGCAACCGCTTTAGCTCGCGGAGTCGGTTTCGAGACCGAATTGGCTGGTTCTCCTTGCGGCACGTGGATCGTTCCTGATTTATACACGTCGTCGCGAGTGACGCCTGGATCTTTCTGAACTTTGACCACCGCAGGTTTCCCTGGTTTCTTGTTGTACTCAATTTGAGGTCCGATTTTGAGGTTCATGCCGCCAACTGCGACTGTCTTGAATTGCAGGAAGAATTCAGTCTTGAAAACACAGTTGATGAGAGGATCTGGCTCCTGGGCAGACCCAACACCCAGGGCAAACCAATCATCCCGCAGGTTCGAACACGAGACATATTTCACCGCGCCAATGGGTATTGTTCTTTCGGCAGAGATCTGGAGTTGGTTGTTTACCACGGCTTGCACAATGATGTAGACCGATTTGGGAGTCAGGACAAGAATCCGTGGCATCCGCTGCGAGGATCGTCCAAACTTGGTAACCAACAGCTCACAACGCGCTGAAAACACACAACGTTCCTGAGGATTGAGGTGGATCGCATCTCTGAGCACACGGCCTTGACCACCCGGCATGTTGAGACCAAGGTAATCCCCGAAAAATCGTCTGGAACCAAGCAAGCTGTATCTGCGGCGTTCCTTCCGACCTCCCAAAAGTCTGTGTCCCTGATCTCGAAATTCAACCTCTTTAACGCCAACCTTGGATTTGCGCCAGAATCTTTGGATCCTGGTCGCTGCCTCGGCTCGATATCGCAGGTAGTTTCTCCAAGCCCTCTGAATGCGGACGGCCATGTTGTGCCAGTACCGGTCTCTCATATGCTCAAGCCCAAACAAAGTCTCTGGAGTCTTGATAAATGCTTTGGTCACGCCCATCTGATATTCCTCTTTGGGAATGCTGGTGTCTTTGAAAATAATTTCCGACGCAGTCCTGACATCTCCTGTGTAGGTGTATTCTCCGGCGTAAGAAAGTTTAGGTGACAACAAGGCGAACCTTTCCACGAATTTGTCAAAAGTCTGACGGTAGGCGAAACCAGCTCGCCGGATGCGAACGTTTTCTTGTAGACCCAGATATTTGATCTGGTGGAGCACGTTAGGCTCGTTGTATTCCTTGGGCGACTTGTTCTCGTTGGGTTTGATGGTTCGGATGTACGACGGCTGTGCTTGCATCAGTGTATCCACCAGTTCATTGGCAGATATCTTGATCTTATCCCCAGCAGTTGGAGGTCGTCGCTTGTCGTCCTGGTCCACCTGATTGGGAAATAGCTCGTGGACAAATCCATTAGAGCTCTCGCTGACCAGATTCAGAAGATCTTTCAGAAGTTGATCCTTGTTCTTGTCCGTCATTCCTGCAACCTGATAGCTCACATCGCCTGCATAATGCTTGATGATAAATTGACCTTGTCTGCTCTCAAAGTTGGGGTTACTTGAGAGAAAGTTCAGTCGGCCAACAAAGGTCTGATCGGCAGCTCCGGAGTCTGCATGGGCTGTTGCGCAGGCGTCGTTGAGAGCAGCAAAAACACCCGGGGGTCTCTTGTCCTCGATCAAAGAGCAGACGACTTTGTTGTCGAAATATTTGATCGGGGTCCACTGAATCTGTTCGCGGGCATACTCTTCCTGCTCGGCTTTCAAGGTCAGTTGGATGAAGATTTGCTGCAACTTTTCGTTGACGTAGTTGATGCACAACTGCTCGAACGAGTTCTTCTCAAAAATTTCGAACCCGTAGATATCAAGAATACCAATCGTGTTCTTCACCACGCCCTGTGATCTCAACGAGACATTGGTTCGCGCCACAATCCAATCGAACAGATTGAAGTATATGGCTTTGGCAAGCGCATCTCGGACAGCACTAGCCTGGACTGGGTTCAGGGGCGACTCGTAGATGGACCCTCTGCGTCCTCCACCGCGGGCTGTTTCGACAATTCTGATGGTCATAGCTTTGTGCACATGAGATGATTCCACCTCTAGCAGATAAGCGACAAAATCCACCACGGATGTATCTGCAATGTCGACACCTCCTTGATCATTCTCCCTGAATGTGATATTCCCGATCCACAAAATGGCAGCCAGAAGCCGGAAGATATTGTCCTGCTCAGCCTTTGTTAGACCAATAATCTGCATGGCTTCTACCGTCTCTCGGAAATCGTTCGCGTCGTCTATTCCTGGTACATCGAAGCATTTCGACCGGCTCGTATATACGTACGACTGAGGTTGCTGTACACCAAAAGAATCTCTGTACTCCTTCGGGGCAGCTTTCGTGAACTGATAGAAAATGTGGAAGTTCCGCTCGTTTGTGATCTGTCCCACCACCCGGCTCTTTTCCAGCAGGTAGTTTGTGACCTTGGCCCCCACAGGCTCACCTTGTTCATTAAACTCGAGCTCGAGGTATTTTCCGAAACGAGAGGAGTTGTTATTTCGTAGTGTTTTGGCATTGCCGAAGGACTCGAGGAGAGGATTTGTGGCCAGGACCATATCCTTGGTTCTCTGGATCCTAGAGTCGGTTCCGCCAGAGACACTGGCAATGTACTGCATCAAGCGCTTGGCGGCTTCCGTCTTGCCTGCGCCCGACTCACCAGAAATGATGACACATTGGTTGTCTTTGTATGCCTTCATGTTGTAGTAGGCCGACTCTGCAACGGCAAACACGTGCGGGGGAACTTCGAGACGATTGCGCCCACGGTAGCTCTGGACGACCTGGTCTGTGTAGATCCCCAAGTCTCGGAAGGGGTTGACTGAGACCAACACATGGCCGATATAGGTGTAGATCTCGCCATGTTCAAAGCGCTTCTTGAGGTTGTCATTGATTGACTCATTTGAGACTTTGCTCAGCAGTGTGAGATCTGAGACGCCCACTTCCTTCTTTTTCGTGATCTCAAAGGTCGCTTTCTTGATCTGCGGTTGCCCGGAATCTGCGTGTGAAGACTTGCCGCCGCCAAAAAGAGACGATTTAGGTGCGCGAGAGGTCTTGCCTTCGCGGCGCTTTGTTTGACCCTAGGAGGTAAAAGTGAGTGTGTCGGTCTAAGCGTGAATATGGCGCGGGGACACTGACCATGGTGACGGTGCGAAGTGATTAGGACATAAGCGCGGAGAGGGCAGATAGAATGAGAAAGAGTTTGTCGGTTCGCGTGAGGGACATATACGGAATACGAGGATAGAAAAACCCGGAGAACTGTCAAAGCAAAGAATCACGCAAGAAGGACAATTGGAAAAGTGCTGGGTGGCCTTTGGGCTGATCTGATGGAGATTGGCAAGTGAGTGCGGCGGTGCTTTTGTCGATGCTTGTAACCAGTTCAGGCACCGACACAGGCGCCGGAGTGACTACCTGGGTATGACATACCAACGGCGCTATAAGCGGATGCTGCGGTTAGTCAGTTCCATGTTGCAGCCTCACAGCCTCTCCACAACCTCTTTTCTCCTCATGAGTCCTGACACAGGCACTCGTATCCTCCAATCTCCATCGCCACGCCTCGCTGTGGCTGTGAGACTACGACACGCAAGCGGCGTTGATGTTCCGTCATCTCTCTTGGCTTTTAGCATATCAGCCGCGCACTTCAAAATGTCCTGCGTCCTCCATGCGTACCAAACCTTTAGCCTAGATTGACGCGAGCCTACTAGATATGCCACACATGCCTAGCATCCCGCTCAAAGTCCCTAGGTATCCGGAAATTGCCTCAGCAGCATGGGCACTATACATGAGTGTTGCACAGGCAGATGTCAATACAAGAAATTTGAGGGGGTTTTTAATGCCCAACGGACGATCTCTCCAGACCTGACCATGCCTACCTTACCTCCGATCTCAGTTACTGGGAGTTGACCTTATGTATAGGACGGAGAAGAGGGACAACAATGATGTCGCGAGGAATTGTGATCTTGCTGTACCAGGCAATACTGAATATCGAGATTTCATCTACTATTAATCCAACATCGGGCTCGGATTTTTGCTTTTATGGCAGGTGAACCTTGAATATTGCGGTGTGCTTGTTCAATGCTTGTCTCACAATCTTGGTCCATATTGTTTCACTCCGGCCGGACATATTATCATCTCATAACGTTGCAAAGACCATGGTTCTTTCTCCCTCCTCACTTTCAAATTTCTTGAATTACTCCCCCATAACCTTTTTCGAGTCAGCGGCGTTGACATAGGCCGGATATGCCTCAATAATCTCCTCGCCATGAGTGTCGTCGATATACTCGGCGGCAAACACACGCTTGGTCAAGTCTTGTGCCTCTCCTAAAATCTTCGCAGAGTCGGCGGCGTCGACATACGCTGGATAGGCATCAAACACCTCCTCGCCGTCAGCACCTTCAAGATATTCAGCGGCGAACAAGCGGCTCTCAAGATTGTGTGTCCCCTGGACAACCTCGGCCAGGTCGACGGCCGCGAAATGTGCCCCTTCCACCATTTCTGCTCTTTCGGCAACCCCAACATACTCTGCTGCAGAGACACGCTTCGATTGGCCTTGTATCATGTCGTTGAATTTGTCGACTGGTAGTGCCAGGACAGGAATTGCTGAGAGGAGCAAGGATGACAATGTTGAAAGCAACATGGTGTAGCAGGATGTTGGTTGATATCAGATGGTCTAGGTGTTGGGCAGTAGGGGGCATGCTGGGACTTTGGCTATGAGAGCATCGCTAACTCTTATACTTGATCTGGGATTGCCTGGGGGCACGGACAAGGTGAGCCCCTATGCGCTTCCACACGATGGAGGAAGCCTGCATCCCTAGGATGTGTCAGAAGTAACGGTAAGCAGCTATCCATGAATGGGTACACCATCAACATGCCTGTCCTCTTGAGAAACAAGGTTATTGATCAGCAGGCACCCGATTCTTGCACTGAGAAATGGCAATGGCCGTAGAAAGCACGGAGCGATTCATCGATAAACTCATGGCCCCGATCTTTTGTGTTCTGAGCAAATGTACTTAATTGACGAAAAATGCTGGCGACCGGTAATGTGACACAAAGAACCAATTCGATCTTTCTGTCGACAGGGCTCTTCTCGCTTAGAAGAATCTGGAGTGAGCGCGACGAGTCTGGCATCAAACGAGATAGAGCGGGCCGCAGCAGAAGCGGCTTCAAGTACGCTCTTGCCAGTGCTCCCAGCTTAGGCGTACGTCTCGATCTCTCTCTTCGACATTGAGAACGTCAGATTGGCTGCAAGCCTGATACCAACGGCCGACTTCTTGTAGCTTCCCGCCATCAATATGGGCTTCTTTCGCAGGACACTGAACGACGATCACTTCGAAGGGGAGGAGGTTCAGAGCGAAGGTAAAATTGAAGAGGTCGCCCCGTTCCTCTGGAACGAAGCAGCCAGGAGAAAGCTGGAGAAAGGAATACCACACAAAGTCAGATCTGCCTCGCTGCCAATTCTTCTCACCATCATAGTTGCGCTGATGGCTTCCGGCATCACCTTCTGGATCACGGCAGAATGGCATCACGGGGCTTGTAATAGCACAAACGACCTATGGTGTGGGTATCAGTCTGCGAGGCTTTCGTTTATCGGGACTGACGTCTTGTATAACAGCGCCAGCGGAAGAGCAAGTGGAATATTTTGACCTCGACATCGACAATGACTTCGCTGCCGGGAGCCGATACCGTGGACCGCCCACCCCAGAGCTGGATGCCGCGTGGGAAGAGCTCTGGCACTTTGGCTACGTCGCCATTCCTCGCGACAAGCTGTCAGCGCTGAATAGACAAGAGCAACTCCCTGATGGCCGTACTGTGGCCAGAATCAACGGAACTACTGACCACTTCCAAGCGTCGTTGGAGGTCTTCCATCAACTCCATTGCCTGGTAAGCACCTGACAAGGCCACTGATAGACTTTGTGACCTCGAACCGTGGCTGATGTCTTGTTTCATGGACTTTACAGGATGTAGTCCGCCAGCACAGCTGGGCTGCGTACTATGCCCGACACACCGACACGGTGCGCACGCCAGCAGACCTCAAAGTCTCGCCGGTTGGGCTCCGCATGCACGTCGACCACTGTATCGAAACATTGCGCAAGACCATCATGTGCCAGAGCGATGTGACGCCGCTGCTCATCATCAACGACCCCACCAAGCCAGATGGCTGTCCAGACTTCAGCGCCTTCCACCGCTGTCGCAAATTCCACAAAGTTTGGGCGTGGATGAAAAGAAACCAACGAGACGTGCCGAGGAGGATGGATCACACAGGTCGAAAGGATCATAGTGTTGGTGAGAGCGGATGAAGGGGCGGTCACGCCTGCATGAATTGATGAGCCATGTATTGAAGGGTTCGGATTCCATCGTATTTGAAGAGTCTACCTCGGGCGCTGTGCAATCAAATTATCCATTCGTCCTCCCAGAAGTCAACAAGGGTCTTTGAGACCACTGGTCCCAGATACTCGGCCAATCGCTCCCTTCCGTTGTTTGTCCTGGTAGCTTCCTCCAAATCTCGAATGGAAGAGCACAGGTCAGTCAACACATTGGCATCGTGTGCGGAGAGGGGCTGAGCCGGCGCCGAGGTGCTGGCATGAGCGACCAGCGTGGTAGGCATCGGCATTGGCGGTATTTTGATCTCGTACTTCTTGTTCAGCTCTTGAATGTAGCGCTCGACGGTAGTTACGATGCTATCGATTGACAACGCAGTAAGAATGGGGATGGGTGAGACACCTAGCATTCTAGGAGGTAGCCAACGAGGTTAGAACAGCGAGCAACCGCTCTTCAGGGGGGCTTGCGAGCACCCTTACCGATGTTGCAGAGACGAGAGGATGTGAACGGGGCAAATGGAGGGCTTCTCCCTGTTCTCAGCCACCATGGCCACATAATGATCTGTCATCTGCCTTGCCCGCGCTAAGAAAGGACGCAGTCGTTCTTCGGTGGAGGTCATGGGCTCGGACGTCCACAATAAGAGAACGTGGAGCGTGGATTGCTGGTGTTGTCCGGAGAGTGGAATGACAAGGTCGCGGTCGGTCGTATCACCTTCTGCTATATTTCATCAGCTTGCTCTTGTTTCTGTGTGTCCAGGATTGACCTTGGAAGTTGATCGAAGTCGAGGCTACCAGCGCAGGCCCCAGCGTGCGCCATTCTGGTCGAGTTCGAAGCAACAGAGAAAACTTCGCGTGCATCATACTGGAGGACTTTTTTTTTTTCAATCAGGGGTATCTCTGTATCAAGGTGAATAAATGTACATATGTTGAGTCGGGAGTTCTGGTCAACATCATTCTGGTGCCAAGAAGGTGAGCACCTTGTAAATGCGTCTTCATCTTCCTTCAGCTCCTCACTTTTTCGGTTTCTGCTCAGCAGCCATCTTTTCTGCCTCTTCCAAGGCCTTTTTTTGTCTATGTTTCTCCTCCAAGGCCTTATCAGATTGGACAAGGATCTTCTCTGCCGGTCCTGGCTCGTTCTTTGCCAGGGTCTCCTTTGCCTCATTGTCACTCTTAGAGAAAGACATCAGAGATGTCAGGCGTGACCAGTAGCCCAGCGGTTGCGCCGCCTTGTCGTCCTCTTTGTCTTTGTCTTCTTCGTATATTTCCTTGGGCAATAATCTTATTGTGGTTGTTGGCTTTCCATTCTTCTCTTGTGCTCGCAGGCGGAGGACTTCCCTCTCCAGCTCGACCAAGGCTTTTCGGGCCGCCTTTTCAGACTCCTCCAGGTCGTTCAGTCTCTCGGCGACATCATCCCTCCGCTGGGTCTCTTTCCTGCCCGACCGCCACGACTCAAATAGGATCAGACCAGCCGCAACACCAAAAAGAAATGCCTCGCTTATAAAGTTGGCGCCCGACTCGATGGCTTTGGCTTCGGATAGGGGTCTAATCTTGGGTTTCGGCCGCGGCTTTGGTGGCTCTTGTGCTTCTTTGGCGGCCTTTTCAGCAGCTTCCTCTTCAGCTTTCATCTGTGCTTCCGTCTTGACGGTAGGGATGTTGGCATGTTTATGTCTTTTTGCAGCCTCTGCAGCCTGCTCCTTCGCGACCTGTTTTTCCAGAGCTGCGGCATCTTGTAGCAGACCGATACGCCATCGCATATCAATTCGGTGGAGAGTCTGGGCAAAAGAGATGCAGGTTCGGCGGAAGCCTTCATGCTCCCGGGCTTGTTTCTTGATGAAATTCTTCGACAGTCAGGCAAGAGAAGAGTTGGCAGCAGAGAATCCCTCAAACTCACAGCTATTGGTTTGGAAAGTGTACGAACTGCCAGCGACGTGAACTTGAGAGTCAGCGACATGTCGTTATAAGTGCCTGTAAAGTGATAGACTTCCAAAGTCCGCCATTAACCGTAATCAAACAACGCGGCCATTAGCTATCGTTTACCATCATGTCGTACTTTCAAGCCACAGAACATACTGACAACGATCAAGCAGTTCAAAGAAGAGACTTGGGTTAAGTCGTGAGTCTCGACTTTTCAGTCGGCCTTGTTGTGGCCTGGCTCGGGGCCGTAGGCTATTGAGCTCCAGTTGGGTGCCTGTGGGGAGCTCGCAGGCCCAAAAGCCCCTCACCGGAAAAATGAAATTTCCGCTCTGTCGACAAACATGCCAAGAGATAACTGATCTTTGCCTGTTACGGTTGGTCAATGTTTACTTTCCATCCCCTTTCGTCACCAATGAATTGCATGCTACATCCGCCCTGTTGTTCCCATAATTCAATTGCAACGGCCTCTCTCATTGTCTCGCCCAAATATTGGCAGCCTGAGATAGAACACTGCTGTGTGGCAAGGCCTTCACATCTGACATGGAGGTCCTCTCGCCACGGTCAGCAAATATCCCCATGGCTCCTCCTCCAAAAGCTACAAAAAAGCCCAAAGTCGACTCCAAACCAAAGACAGACGTAAAACTTACCAATCCCGATCGAATTGATGACAGATGGAGACCACCGCCGTCAATAACAGAGCCTGGCCCGTCGCCAGAAACCTACATAATGGGCAGGAAGCTGGGAAAAGGCGGATTCGCAGTTTGTTTCGAGGGACGGTCAAAAACAACATTTGAAGTATTCGCCCTCAAAGTCGTCAAGGCAAAGGTTGAGCAGAAGAAGATGATGGAGAAGTTCCGAACTGAGTTGCAAATTCATGCCAAAATGCACCATCCAAATATTGTCGAATTTCTTCGTGCGTTCACCATCGACGAGCACACCTACGTCGTCCTTCAGATGTGCCCCAATGGGAGTCTTACAGAAATGGTCAAGGCCCGCTCCTGTCTCAGTCTTCCTGAAGTACGTCGGTACATGATTCAGATCTGTGGAGGGGTCAAATATATGCATAAGCGATCTGTCATTCATCGAGATCTGAAGATGGGCAATATTTTCCTGGATGCCCGTATGAATATCAAGATTGGAGATTTTGGATTAGCTGCAGTCATGGCAGATGAGCATGATCGTCGGACCACGCTATGCGGCACCCCAAACTACATCGCCCCAGAGATTTTGAGCAAGTCCGGCCACCGTGGCCACGACAACAAAGTCGACACTTGGGCTGTTGGGGTGATTTGTTACGCCATGCTCATGGGCACTCCTCCCTTCCAGTCAAAGACCCAACAAGAAATCTACACTAAACTGAGAACACTGGAATATGAGTGGAGGATGGACAGCAAAAACTACATTCCACAACAGGCGAAAGATTTTGTGGCTTCATGCTTGAACCTCAATTCTGTCGAGAGACCGGAGATGGACGAGTTGGTTGAACATGACTTCTTCACGATGGGAGTGATTGCGGACGAACTGGACATTTCTTGCCTCAGAGCGAACCCGACATGGTTGGAGAATGCTGACCCCCGCGGAGACAAAGTACAATCGGGCTACGGAATCAGTCACAGCAGAATATGCCGCGAATGTGGCATCGGTATCGGTTCGGATGGTCGACCTCGCGCGGGAGTCGGTACTGGTCTAGACATCTCGACCCTGGTGGAAATCGAGGTTGAAAATAGAGAAGGGTGTGCACCAGTCGTCCCCTTACCGCCTGGGACGCTATATAAACAGTTCTCGGACGCGCACGCGGACTGGACAGCGCGGCAGAAACATCCACTGTTAACGACACGTGTTCGCAGTCGAAAACCTTTTCCGGAACAGCCAGAACCGTCTTCTTCACGAAGCGGCAAAACCGAAACAGAGGCACTACCAGTTGGCGGATCTAAGGTTCCTTTACCGCCGGTGAGCGCCACATCCAGACCGTTTCAAAGCTTCGCGGCCCAACAAAGGCAACAAGCAATCCCATCGGGAGCAGTGCGACGAGGTCCACTTGCGCCAGAGGAGATCCCTAAGGCAGAACAACCGAAAATTGTTGAGCCTCCTCTTCAACCACTTTTGAGAGAACGGCCGATGCGTGCGGCCACTATCCGTACCACAAGAAGTGCGGCGTTGCGTGATCCAATTCCCCCGATATCTAGGACGTTACCACGATCGACGACTGCGCCTGACTTTACGAAAGAGATTGTCAAACAAGAGCTGAGCCAAAACAGGCCAGAGGTTCGGAGGATCAGAAGCGGAATCACCGCCATGGCCTCAAACGCTGAAAGCCAGCGGGCCAAGAGCAGTTCACGGTCGGCCGTGGCAGCAGAAGCCGCGTCTGCGCGTTCGAAGTCGTCCTCTTCTCCTGACCCGACAGGGTCAATGGGAGATGTACCTTCACATGTCTTACAACCCACCAGTGCAAATGACAGACAACCCATATCAGGGACGGCAGAGAAGCAGAGGCCAGTCAGCGCCGAACAGAAACAGCGGGTAGGAACGACGACGGAGCGCGCGCGCACAGTGGTTCTTCCGAAACATCAACCTCGAATCATTGGCAGAACAGACCGTGCGGTATTGGTCCCGCGGTCTTCCAATATCGACGTTCTGAATTCACTGCAAAGCCTTCACAAGGCTCTTGATCCGCGCAGGTTCGACGAGGCAGGAAGGCGTCCAAGATCAGCATACGGCACCAGAAAACCCCGGACCCGATCCACATACCCTCGCGTTGACAAGTGGGTAGACTATTCCACCCGGCATGGTATTGCATACATCCTCTCGGATGGCACGGTAGGCATGATACTCAAATCATCGGAAGACAACTCTTTGCCGAGTAGTTGTGTGGTGGTGCGCCATGCCAGCAGCCACACCATCCGACGAGCCAAGGGTTTGGAGTACCAATTTGTGCCACAAGGAGCCGATGCCGCGGACGTCGAGTTCTATGAACAGAGTGATTACGAAGCAGGGATGAAGCGACTCGACGTCCCTGCACGACAATTCCTGCTGGACTTGGAAACACACCCGAATCAAGTGGCGGCCGCCAACGCGATCCAGATGCGGTTGACGGGCAGTGAGGCTGAGCGGATGAAGGAGGTGGCGCTTTTGGACAAGTTCGGAAAATATATGAACAAACAGGGAAGGCATGACGACTCGACCAGTGGCAGGGCAGCGGGCAAAAGCGAACGGTTTGTGCACTTCTACCAACGAGTGGGGAATGTTGGGGTCTGGAGATTTGCAGATGGAGGATTGCAATTCAATTTTCCGGATCATACCAAGGTCACCATCCTCGGGCCGGCTACCGAGGAAGAAGGTGAGGACGGGCAGTACCGAGTTAACTGCGTCTATCTCATGCCCACTGATGCCATTGGACTTGCAAACCATGGCGGACTCAGCGGGGAAGCAATGGAGCGTCGCGATGAGTTGAGCTTGCCATTGGAAGACATCATGAGTGACACGCTGCGTCGGTCCGAGATGGAGATTGTGCGCACAAACGAGATCAAAGAGAAACTCTGCTGGGCGCGCGCTGTGGTGGGATGCTGGATCAAAGAAGGCGGACTTGGTAAGATGGGAGAAGAGAGGTTAGGCTGGAGCGGATTGCAGGAACGACGAGACGACAAGAGGATCAAGCTGCAGTGGGTGACGGTGGGGAGGTATGGCGGCGATGGCGACGGCGACAACGAGGGCAGAGTGCACAATCACGGCTCGAGCAAGGCTGGCAACAAGGATTGATTGATGGAGGCAGTTTTTTGGCTGTTTATAGGGTCATCAAGCAAGCAAGAGTGGGTGTATTTTGCAAAGAGCAGGGGAAGGGCATCCATGCAGCATTGAGCATTGAGCATTCAGCAATCGGCATTGAGGTTGGAGTTGGTATTATTGAACCGTGGTACTTACGATCGTATGGTATGGCATCCTAGATTATCAATACTGGCCCATGTATGACCTTGACCTTGACCTTGACCTTCTGACCGTCTTGTCTTCTTGTCCTTTTTGCCTGTAGCCGTTTTCGGAGAGGGACGGCACCAACGGGTGGATTGGATTAGCCACGCATGTCGCCATGTAGCATCATTCTTACTCTCTCTCTCTGATTCCCTTTCTTTTCCTCGTCGGCTTGCCCGTTATCTATTTCTCCCAGCTTCAGCCGCCGTTCCCTCGCTGCTTATTTTTTGTGAGAACATTTCTTGGAGACTTTCACTTCTTTAGACACAGTCGCCACCACACAGCCAGCCAGCCGGCCAGATACCAAACAAGTAAAGAAACAATGGGAGGCGGCCCCGAAAAGGAACACCTCCTCATCGTCCTGTGGCAGCCCGAGCCCAAGGATGTCACGGCCGAGATTCAGCGGCGATTCCCGCATTTCGAGATTAAATACTTTCAACAACTTCCCCCCGAAGGAGGGCAGATTGTGGATAAGAGAGGGCAGGTTCCACAGGGTGAGTGTTTCGTTTTGTTTCTATTTTGCGGGTGTGGAAGGGGTTGGGGGTTGATCTGGTTCATGGTAAGGATGAGGAGAAGGGGAGGGGAGGTGAAGAGTCAGGATAAGAATAGAGGGGTGGGAAGAAGAGGAAGAGGAAGATGAAGAGGCGGAACTGGTTATCCCTTGTCCTTCCTTATCTCACTCACTACGATATCATCGTCATCACCACTCAGATATGTCGTCGACTAACCACGTCTCTCTTCTCGACACACCCCTCCAGAGCTATGGCAATGGGCCACCATCCTGATCACCCTGTCATCCCTCCCCGCGCGCGCCGAAGATGCTCCCAAGTACGTGGTGATTACTGTCCACCTTTCTCCCAAAAAGGGGGGCCGACCTGATTTCTTACCATATACCCCAACAGCCTCAAACTCATCCACCTCTTCATGGCCGGCTTCGACCACTACAGCAACCATCCCATCGTCACCGACAGCGACATCCCCATCACCTCGTCCTCGGGCATCCACGGGCCCCCGATCGCCGAGTGGATCGTCATGACCACCCTCGTCCTCAGCAGGCGCTACGCCACCGAGTATGAGTGGCAGAAGCAGCATCACTGGGGCACCGGTCGGGAGATGTTGGTTGACGGCACGGATTGGGTGGGCAAGACGGTCGGGATTGCCGGGTACGGGAGTATCGGGCGTCAAGGTCAGTGTTCCCCCCTCCCCCCCCCCCCCCCCACAAACTTCCTTACGTCTCCTACATTTTCTATCCCTCTGCTAGCTAAGTAAAAAGGGGCACCCAAGAGTGTGTCGAACCTTTCAGCTAATCTTCTCGGGGGGTGGGGGAAAAAAACAGCCGCACGTGTCTTCAAGGCTCTTGGATCGAATATTCACGCCTACACGGCGGGTGCGCGCGCAACACCCGGTGAGTCTCTTGCAAGTTATTCCCTTTCTCTCCTCTCCTCCCCTCAGCCGTGAGGAATGAATGTCCTCCTCCCTGCCCTCAAGTTCCCGGAAAGGCACTACTAAATACATGCCGTGGCCCCGTGGCCCATGGGGCACGAGGAAAAAAGAATCGAGAAAGGACAACGGCTACATCGTCCCCGGCACGGGCGACCCAGACGGCACGGTGCCGCGGGCGTGGTACTCCGGGACGACGAAGGAATCGCTGCACGCGTTCCTGTCATCAGGGCTGGACGCACTCGTCATCTCTCTCCCCTTGACGCCCTCGACACGCCACCTCTTTTCGACGCGCGAATTCGAGATCCTCGCCAACACGACCCACGCCGCCGACGGGGCCCCCAAAAAATCCCGCTCGGCCTATCTGATCAACATCGCCCGCGGAGCCCTGGTCGACCAGCCCGCGCTGAAGGCCGCGCTCGACAACGGCGTCCTCCTCGGCGCAGCCCTCGACGTCACGGACCCGGAACCCCTCCCCAGTGACGACCCCCTCTGGGACGCGAAGAACGTCATCATCACGCCGCACATCAGCGGGCACGGCACCGAGTACACGCTGCGTGCGTTCGACGTCTTCATGGTGAATTGGGCACGGCACGAGAGGGGCGAGAAGATGTTTAACCTGCTCGATCGGCACAAGGGGTATTGAATTTTCTGGTCAGGTGGTTGGATATCTGGTCTCATAACCCGTAACTCATAAAGTAAGATCACCATTAGACGGGGACAGACCTGGACTTGGAGAGGGACAGGGACAAAGACATAGCATAGCTGAAAGCCCAACGGGAGGAAAGCAGATAAAGTGCCCTCGTAGATACCTCCCTACCTACATAGATAGGTAGTTCTCTAGTACAAAATACGACGGATACACCATGGAACGGATACTAGATCTAGGTGTGTAGTTATGTAGATTTAATGATGGCCTCAAGGTGCCCAACGCTAAATAGCATCCATTCCCTCATTACTTTGTAAACAAAAATTGCCAAACGGCCACAATAACAACAACAGAGGCAAATAGAGCATTAGATGCCATTGTGAGTGAGATGTCATTTCCTCGATCAGTGCCAAAAACCCTTACATCCTCGTCGTGGTCGTTGTCGTTGGTCGTCGTGAGATGATAATAGTCGTAATCATAAAAGAACCCGTCGGGTGTCGTCAACAGAATATTACATGCGTGCATGCATCGTGTCATCATGCCGTAGAACGTAGCCGTCGTAACATAGCAGGTGAGTAAGTAGGTAGCCGCGAGGCCTGTCGTAGTTTTCGTGTCGTGTTGGTATCCATCAGTGTCGCGCAAAACTCGTGGTATCGGTTGGTATCGGGGTCATCGAGAACAACAACCATTATTCCATCGAATCGACTCAGCAAGTAAAGCAGTATATCCATCCCACATTTTCAATCTTCTTCGAGCTTCATTTCCCAAAGCAGCTCTTGAAAACCCGCTTAGCAATTCCGGGCTTCTTCTCCCCCTTCTTTGAAGCACTGACAGCCACCCCATTCGGCGCAGCCACCTTCGCCGACCCATCTTGCCAAAACATCCAGTCGAGAAGTTCGTTTCCAAACCTGCTCCTCGCATCTTGGATTTTCCAGCCATCTCTGGTTGCCAACCTCCCCACTAGGCCCCTCCACTCGGCAATCTCGTTCTTGAACCCGCCATTCTGGCTCTCTTCTCCTCTAAAGATTTCCTCCCACCGTCTCCCATGCACAGTATATCCATACCACTCTTTTGCCCAGTGCGCACGCACAGGTATCATTTTGCCTTCGTGGTCTTTATAGCTCGTCCACTTGTCCAAGACTTTCTGTGCATAAGCTGGCCAGATATCCGCGACGTTGTGCAGACTGAGAATCTCAATCGCGCACGTTCCCAGCGCATGACCTCGTTGTGGCGCAAGAGTCACCTGTGACCCAGCCATGATGCGCATCTCGAGGGGCATGCGTTGAGGACAAGTTTTGATCGCGGCGTAACAGGAGAGGATAGCATCCCACCAAGCTTGTTGTACGAGGGTCAAGTCAATCTCTTTGCTCTTGGGGGGTGGTGCCGTTGTTACTGCACCGTTGGCGGTTCCATTGGCGGTGCCATTGGCATGGCCATTACCAATTCCGTTGGCGGCTCCATTGACATCTGGCTTCACTTTCGGTTGCAGAGGGAATTCCACTTCTAAATCTCTCACCCGAAGATTCTGGACACCCCTCTGAAAGTGTAATGCATCAGGAACCCAAGTCTTGATGACCTTCCCACTCGGACCGACGTCATCCAAGTTCTTCATCGACAGCCAGGTGAGCAGCTTCGTCTGTGTCTCCGGAAGTGCCTCGGTCAATTTCAGCAGGATCGTCGCGTCTTGCGCGATTTGGACCATGAAAGTGCCAAAAACCTGCAAGATGGTCTTTGCGTCGCTCGGATAGGTCACTGCATTGGATGTATCGAGTGTCTTGTGCCAGGTGTTGACCCAGACTTCACTTGAATAAGGAAACCAGAACCACTCGGCGTAGTCGGTTGTCGTAGCGCGAGTTTCAAAGTCTCGTTGGATCTCGGCCTTTCGGTCTGCGCTCAAAGGATTCTTCGGCCGCAGAGGGCCAGGAATGACCGAATCTGGCATACCTGGAGGAGGAGGAATCGCTTCGATGACAGGAAGTTTGCGGGGTTCCATAAGAGCACACGACAGTGGGTCCAGCTCAAGGACGAGATGGGTGACGATGCCGATAAGACCGAAACAGCCTGCACCGGCTCTGAGAATGTCGGGAGTAGACATGTCAATTTTGCGGAGCACGCCGTTGACGTCGACATATTCCATACAACGGACGAGATCGGAGATGGTTGGATTTTGAATACCACCACCATGGCTGGAAATGGTAGGTTAGTATGGCCGCTTCATCACCAAAACTTTGGCGGGGGAAACAAACCAAATCGTGGCATTGCTTCCTCCCATTGTGATTTCGACTTCCACAATATTCATTGGCATGGTAACTTTGCCAGTGTCAATGCACCATCTGCGAAGCTGCTCGTTGGTTGTCGATGTCCCGACTCGAACATACTTCTTGCCGCCGGTGAGCTGAGGACCTCTGACATAGGTGTAATCGACGACCACAATCGAGTTGAGGTCCTTCGCTCGAGGTTGGAAGATATCAGTCGGTAGGGATGTGAGATTCGGCAGGATCGAAGCGTCGATAAGCCCTAGCGTTGAAATCAGGATGTCTCCATTATTCTCGCTACCTTTCTTGTTGGATCGACCAAAGACCGGAGACCATGAATGACCTGGGGCGCAGTTCAGTAAGCAGACACGGCTGCGGAAGTCCATGCTTGGAGGTGACGGGGGGCCTACGAAACCCAGAGGCACGAACACCCATGTTCTGCTTCTTCGCAAATTTGATGATATCGCACACATCTTGAGCAGTATTGGGCACACATGTCAATGCGGGGGTATTTTCCACCGTGCGGCCGTGGTTGAGAAACTCGAGGTTCTTGTAGGTCTGTGGAGGCTTAGTGAGCGGCGATCACTGGGGCCAACGGGATGTTAGGACCATACCGGAATATACAGTGCGCGTCTGGGGTCTTTCAGAGATGGGAAAAGCTTTGCAAACAACCCTCGAATGCGAGAAGGGATGCTCGTTGGAGCTGCCTTCAACAAGTTGATCGGTTCGGAGAGGATGTCTGGCCCGTCCGGGATGGCAGCAGCAAGACCCCCTCGACGTATATCCCGCTTGAATACTGGGCCTTTGTCCGCAGTAACCTGAGTGTATCGTTGACCAGCTTCTTTGGCGTCAATCTTGCCGTCGACAAAGTCGTTGAAGATTTCCTGCACGTCGTCGTCATAGTCGCCGATGATTTTCTCATAGGTGAAATCTTTATCGGTCTGTTTGAAAGTATGCAGAAACCGGCGGACGAACTGCTCTTCGTCCACCTCGACTTTTGGATCAAACCAGTCGTCTATCAGCTCCACGAAGCCTGGGAGCTCGTTACTGTCGACCTTCTTTCTGAGGCCCAAGATACAGTCGGTGACAGACGCCAGAGAATCGTGTTGGTGGTCGCCATGGTCGATGTCTAGATTATTAGCCATTGGGGCATTTTTTCTCGAATTCTATTCAAGAATAGCAAAGGAAAGGAAAACGAAGACAATTAAAGCAATGAAATGGAACGAAATGAGAGCTGTTTGACCAAGGTGAGCTGGCCCATGATGAGACTGGCGGTCACGATCAGCTTGCCTTTTTTTCTTTTCTCGAGGCGGGGCTTGCGTCTGCCTTGCCGGGAGTGCTACAGTGACTACCGAGTAGAATTCCGGAGACGATGCAGAGCCGTTCATGCGGAAAGCTGCAGGCGGAGGCTGAGAGGTCGGCGGATACACGACACCAGTCAGAGACGGCCAGATGTAAGAACGGCGGGTGCTGCGTTGTCACTTTGACTGGAAAAAGATGCTGAGGGTGACGATCGCTTAATGCGAATCCGGGAAATTAACCTGACAGTGACATGGAGACAACGTGGTCGGCCAAGTCGGCCTCGCTTGTCTATCTCTTTTTGACAAGGAGGCAGTTATCGCCAATGGCCTGATGGCCCAGAGATTCGGGCAACGAGACAGAGTTTACTTTAGTTGGTAGACCGAGGCGGCCATCATGTACGTCTCATGTCGCTTGTGCGTTGGCCTTTGGAACAGACTCCCGAGATGCGTCTGACCCGCATCAAGTCCAATGGGCATGTCGCGCCATGGCCGACGAAGATGGCACGGAGAGGGTCCAGTTTGGAATGATGCAGGGAGGCGTTGGCAGAGCTGAGATTGAAACATGCAATATGGGCGTCAGCTGGATTTGAAACAGGAAGAGGTTGAAGTGAGAAGTGAGAAGTGGAATGAAGAAACTGAGGTGGAATTCAAGTTGAAACGAGAGAAGATGAAAGCTTGGCTCGTGATGAAAATGAGGGCGCAGTTACGCGGCATCTCCTCGGTGTGTACCTACACGTATAGCTAGAGAGCATCCTGGGGAAAAGTTAAGGGCGTTAGGGGTACCAGGAAAGTCATTAGCGGTCCTTAGGGGTGCCAAGCAGACTAACGGCACACCTACAGACACCTAGATGCCCTAGCACCCCTAGGCAGTTGCTAAGTACGGGCCGTTAGCCACTTGGGGGCTACTTCTAGGTAGCTGCGTAACCCAAGTTCTCGGGTCCCGTACGGACTTGGTATAGATCGTGTCATGTCCTCACTGGGCCACGAAGAGATCTCGATGGTCTTCCGTGCTCGACATTGAGCCTCATCAGAAAAAATGGTATCTCAACTACCTTCCTTGGTTCAAGATGACTCTCCACGGACTAGTTCGTTCACGCTCACGGTCAAGCATTGTCAAAAGCAGCATTGGTAGCATAGCAGTGCAACCTCCTCCCATGTCACCTTCGTCTATCCAAAGTCTCTCGTTGCACCAGCCGCACCTTTCACAGAGAGTTCTCGAGCTCAACAGCCTCCTTCAACATCTCCTCCCACTTGGCCACTTCCTCCTTGGTCGGTCTAGGTAGTGGCCGCCGGGTGTAGCCCCCATATCCAAAGTATGACTGCATCGCACTCTTGGTGCCCGTGATGCCGCCAGCGATCACTCCCCAATCGCCTCGCGCTACAACTGCTTGCAGCTTTTGAGCTTCCTCCACCTTTCCCTGTGCATATAGGTCGTAAACCTTCACACAAGCCTTGGGCACAACGTTCCCTAGCCCAGTTATAATCCCTGAGCCGCCCGCAATCAGCGTCTGAAGAGTGAAGTCTGCCGAGCCACCCATGCACATCCAGCCTGATCCGACGTCGGTGGGTGTGGCGGCATTGACCGCATGAGCAATCCGGTTCAATTTGCCAGTGTTGCCACAAGTGAGCTTGCAGCCACGGATATTGGGGTGCTTGGCCAACTTGATAATGGTGTCCGAGTCGAGATCCACCCCGGCTGCTGCTCCGGGATAGTTGTAGATGACGATGGGGATCGGTGAGCCATCCGCAACAGCTTGAAAGTACTCGACAAACGACTCGGGCTTGTATGCCGACTTATAGTATGAAGGCGGCAAAACCAGAGCACAATCACCGCCAGCCTGATACGCATCCCGGCAGAACTCGATCGTCTCCCGCACCGACTGAGCTCCACAACCAACGACAATTGGCATATCTGAGAAGCCAGCTTCGTCCAGCGCTTTGCGGGTCGTGCTGGTCACCAGTATCCGCTCCTCCTTGGTGAGATGTACTGCTTCTCCATTCGACCCTTGACAGGTGATGCTAGAGAGACCAGCTTTGGCAAGTCTGACGGCGTGCTTTGCGATCGCCTTGACATCGACATCTTCAGTTTCTGGATCGAAGATGGTGACCATAGGCACATTGATGCCCGGTCTCAGCGGTCTCACTGTGTGGTGGCCGTTCATCTTGCAGGATTGTTTGGTGGTTGCTAGCTGTTCGTTACGGATCAGAGGTATAGAGAAGAGCAGAAGTGGACAAACAGGCGTCGAAAATTGGTTTGCCGGATTCGTGACTAACCTTCCTTACTGCTCTTCACTAGGGTTCGATAAGGGACAAAACCAGCCTCTGAACAAAAACGAAAAGCCGTCACAGTTTATAAAGTGTCGACCTCGCCCGGCATTATGCCGACAACTGAGCCTGAATTCACATCCGCAACGGAGACACCTCACTCACGCCCCGCACAACCTGGAGGCGTGGGGTTGGACTCCATCACGACGGTGGGTGAGCGGCGATGGCCGTAAAGCACTGAACATAAAAGCATCCCATAGCATCGAGACACGGGTACGAATGTCTGCCCAAGGCAACGCGGCGTATTTGTCCGGGAAGTGCCAATCAAGTATAGTATCCAGCTGGTGAATAATGTGATCGCCATGTGGCAAAAGTTGTGCGTGAAGCTGATGGTGCAGACCCAGGGAAATCTCAAAAGCTCGTCGCTATCGCCATCTGCCATCCTGTCCGGGATTATTGTTCTTCCGCTCCGAGTCTCGTGCGTCAGTGGGGTGAGAGATCGTTCCCCCACGCCCAGCGGCAACCCTCACACCCTCCTTTCCAAGTCGTTGACGCCTTTCGACTGGAACGGCAAGGGGTTTGGGTTGACGATCCATAATTGTGGCGATCGGGAGTACATGGCGGCTATTGACTTCCCACGAGGATGCGGGACAATGCCCTCCGTCCGAGTGCGCGTGGGGTAAATACTTACCTCTGGTGCCTCCAAGTGTCGGCTGCTTCTCTATATATCAGGTCTGGCCTTGCCGCCCTTCTCTCCGCCGGCTCAACAGCTCTGCAATGGGAACACTGTCTTCATCGTAGAACTCAACATCTTCGTCGACGCCATAATCTTTCAGTCGATTTCCTCCAGAGTCTTGCCACCCTTCCTCTCCACTCAAAGACTCGTCATCATCCAGATCAATATAGTCGTCTTCGACGGGCTCGAGATTCTCCTCTTCGAACCGGTCGTGAAATGGTTTCCGTCTCTGAACCCCGTAATAATCCGGGCGTAGTTCGAAGTCAGCTTGCTGTCGCCGTTTGAACGCCTCCATCTCATCGTTTGGTGAGAACTCATTGTGATCGTGAACAAATGCATTGTGCGCAGACTCAAGCGGCCGTTCAAGTCGGGGCATCCGGTCAGGGTCTGGTGGCGGCCATGTTGTGCCTGGGTCCTCAAAGCCGTTGGTTTCGAATACTAAGCCGCTCGACGTTGGGGTTGCAGAGAATGGCCAGAACCAAGCCAGGAAGTTTGCTGTCCCCATTCCTTGGACGATATTGTTCCAAATTCCTATGTCATAGGGAAATTCTTGTTTGACGATCTTGACCCGAATACCGTCTGGACCGTCCAAGTATCCTCCGAGAGCGCGAGCTCGACGGAGTAGCTGTTCGTGGCGCTCGATTTCCCAGCTCTCGATAGTGGTGACGTTAGCCCCAAGCCCCCAGACGGTGCGAAGGAAGGTAACCGAGACGAGGAAGAGAGTTAGAGTGTTGACAATGATCAAAATGAGAAGATGGACGAGCTGGGAAGCGGAAGGACCTAAATACTGACGCATTGGGTTAGCTTTCGCCGGGCTCAAGAGTGGACAGCCATACACTAGGCAAATTGCGGTTCTCCCAGACGACACCAGCTCGTACGAACAGGAGATACTCGAGATATACCATAGCAGAGACTGCATACCACAGAAATCGCATGAAATGAGGGAGGGTGAAGTGAGATACGCAGTTGACAGTCCAGGGGCAATGATGGTCCATCTTTGGAATGCATCTGATAGTGTCAACAAGGGTTCTGGGGATAGGACAGAGCACTTACCTTTTACACACTCTGCAATGATGTGACCTGGGCGGTTTGACGGCTTCGCACTTGCGGCAAAATCTATGCCTAGAAGCGGGCCTATTCCCATACGAGGCCGCTTCGGTTTCTTCATCATCGTCAGGTTTCCAGCCAGCCGGTACCCGTCCGGGATTGGTCATGCAGGCCCGAGCGTAACATATCCATATGCCAATCACCAACATGTTGAAAACGATTTTGTCCCAGGAACGAAGCGGACCAGGTTCAAGACTGTAGAAAAGGTACTGAGACGAGTACGATAGAAAGGCCACCAGGGTTACAACCGCCGGCACCGCGAATCTTGCCAGCTGCTGAGGGTCCATGGCTGACACCGATAGGAGACGATGGTAGATTGTATCGTAAACGGTCAGTCAGATCGGACTGCATGGCTTTATTCGTCTGGTTGGTGGTATGCTCACAGACAAGGACGATTCGCAACCCCCATGACAGCGAGTAGCGGGAAGATTAGGGGAGAAACAGGATGAGCGATAGTAAAAGGAGACAGAAGATGGTGTCTCCAAGCACTTGTCAAGACCGACAAAGCCACGAAAGCCTCGTTGACGTGCCAAGGCGCTAGTGTCGAATGCGCACCCACTCATTTCTGCTCCAAGTCACCGACGCGTTGTTTCAGGTGCCCGCAACCACCACCGCCACTTATCATCCATGGCGGCGACATGCCCATTCAAGCTTTGCCAGAAAATACTACTCGACTTCTCGGCTCTTCGCTCGCCCTGACTGATGCTAGATCTGTCGTCAAGGAGCTCGTGGACAACGCTCTCGATGCACGTGCAACAGCAATCAGCGTCGAGATATCGAACAACACCCTAGATGTCATCCAGGTCAAAGATAATGGCACGGGCATTGGTATCCAGGATCGGCAGCTCCTGTGCAAGCGAGGCTGTACATCCAAGATCACCTCAATGGAGGACCTTGAAAGCCTTGGTGGCTCTTCTCTAGGCTTCCGAGGTGAAGCACTGGCCAGCATCGTGGAGTTAAGCCAGGCCGTAGTCATTACTACTCGAGTGGATGGCGAGGTTGTTGGGACATCCATCAAGTATGCTGCCTCGGGAATGCTCAGGTAGGTACAATGGTCAGTTTCTCCCTAGACTCACTGTATCATGACCGTTTCAGTTCATCTTCGGCCTCACATCCCGTCGGGACGACGATTCGCGTGCAGGATTTCCTCTCCAAGCTACCGGTCAGAAAGCAGACGGCGCTCAAAGAAAGCATGAAAACTTTACAAGCTATAAGACTCCTTCTTTTCTCATTCGCTTTCGCCAGACCAGAAGTGCGTCTTTCGTTGAGAGTACTGAAAGGGAAGAATGATAAACTCAATTGGACTTATGCACCCACCTTGCCAACTTCGATGACTGAGGTAGCAACAAAGATTGTTGGAAAAGAAGTTGTTTCTGAGTGTACAGCGCACAGTATCACTCCGAGTGATTGTGATGTGGACCTTGACAATGGTTGGAAAATTAATGCTCTTTTGCTATCGACCGCCCGAGGTTCGTGTGGCCGTTTTCGATGTTTTGAGATTATACTGACAACGCAGGTTCTGCCAATGCTCGCAATGCTAAACAATACATTTCCATCGACGGCCGCCCTGTCAATGCGGATCGAGGTACAATACGGGAAGTGACCAAATCTTACAAGCGCCACCTCCAGAAAACGCTCCCATTGTCAGAGAGCTCGTCAGTTTCGCGACCATTTCTCTTCATGCAGATCCAGTGCCCCTCACAAAGCTACGACGTCAATCTAGAGCCCACCAAGGACGAGGTCCTTTTTGCCCGACCTGACCAACTTCTGTCTCTAGTAGAATTCTTATTTGGTCGGGTGTATCCTGTCCTTGAGGATCATGGCGTTGATGCAGCAGCGGATGGAAGCGCAACGTCTTTGTCGCTCATTGCCACATCCAATACTAGTCGTGAAGACCTTGTCAGCCCAGAGGAGGATGGACATTCATTGAGAGATGACAACGTCTTGGTTACAGCCGACAAGGAAGAATCACTGGCATGCAGATCAGCACTGCGGAACCCCTTTACGATTGCTGCAATGAATGCACAAGTGAAGCCTCGAAGGATGGAGATAAACCATGCTAGCGCAACATCTGATGGAGACCCTAATACTCTACCCGATGAAGAGACGGTAGAAAGGCTTGAGAATGATTACCCAACCGTGACACCCTCGCAGAAACCTTCAGAAGCTCCACAACCAGATGATTTGGATCTGAGTAACCCGTCCTTCCCCCAACCAGTTCCTCCGACGAGACACCCTGTCAAACAGCCGAGGACGATAGAAATTGGAGGGACACACACCTCAGAAGTGCAGGGGCGACAGACTTCAATTCCGGGTCTACATCGACCCACTGGCTCGAACGACAGCTGCAAGACTAAAGTCTCCGATCTAGCAAGGAACGCTCTTAGTGTCTTGGAGACGAGAGCAGAGTCTTATGTCGACCCGTTGTCACCTCCGCTTAGCTCTCAAGCGTATCGGGGATGGGGGCCAGGCCAGAAGCCCTTCAAGGTGCCACTGATACGTTCAGGTCAAGCCGCATCTTCTATACCTGCGCCTTTGACTCCGCCTTCAAGCCTTCGCGATTATCGTCAACTGTCACTACAGAGGGATCTCCGAGGACTTCCTGTAGTGTCCGACGAGCACGGCAGTGATTCTGACCAGCATTCACAAGTGAGAAGTACCGAATCTAGTCGAAGGCGGTCCCCAGCAAATCACCTTCTGCAGCCTAACGCTGAATTGGATGATATTATGGATTTCGAGTACAGAAAGAAAGCCGCAATAGCTCATCAGAAAAGGACCATCAGGAGTCTCACTGCCGCTTCATTCAAAGAGGGGATTGTTAGACCGGCCCAACCAGCGTCATCTTCTGTATCGCCATCGCCTACCGTTGAGACGGAGCCAACAGAGAGTGCAAGCGCTGAAGATTATGGTGCGAAATTTGACAACACAGGGTCACGAGTTTCGATGCCGCTGGCATCGAATCCTCATCGGAACCGCTATCTAAAGGCATTGGAGGACTTGTCACATTCCCATCCGCATCCTCCACCTGAACTCCGTGAGAGTGACGAGCAGAGCAACTTAGCAGATACAGCCATATTAGAGAATGATTTGGGGAAGTCCAAGCTTGCCGCCGACGACCCACGGGCTTATTTGATGAAAATGCAACGACACAAGAATAGAAATGGCAAAATCTACCGAACAAAGTCGTCCAAGTTACCCCTCGAAGCGATCCCCTCGGATTCGACGACCTGCAATCTTGTGCTGACCTTGAATGATTTCAAAGACACCAAAGACGTATATAAACAACTCCAGGCTTTGGGCTCTTGTGATCCCTACCCGAGCTCTGGCCGCACGCAATACATAGATTTCGACGACTGCAACGCATCGATTGACGGGAAGTGGCGACTTGTGCTACAAAAGATGGTCAAGACAAAGTTTCGCTACAAAACAGAAGATGGTGGGGAGGGTGTTCCGGAAGATCTGGTCATTGTGGCGAAGAAAATCGCTGAAGAGTAGAGTGACAAAGGCCCCAGTTTTTGTTTTCATGGGTTTCAAGTGGTGAGCGATCTGGAGGATTGTGTCCCAATGCTCAGATTTGACGGTAGATGGCGTTTTGTCTTGATATCCTCTGAGCAGCTATGTTTTGTTGTCAGCGTTTGAAATTTGTTCCAGGCGGTGGAAACGAGGTATGTGTGGGTGGTATGTCGCGTGTAAGATGGCAAAAGTTACCTCATACTGTATACCTATCCAGACACCTTGGTCCTCACACCTTACCGTAGAGCTGCCATACGAAGATGAATTGCAGATCCTCTGTATGCCTATCGATCCCTTTCACTTTCTTTCCCCCCCATCTCATGGCCCTCCTTTCCTCCCCGCCCTTCCCGGGTTCCACCGCCTTTCGACCCCAGTCCATTCTGTCCGATTAGACCACCGGGCCGACCCCTCCATCTCCCTCCCTCACGTCGCCGCAGCCTCCTTCATCTCTGCAGCCTTCGCTTCCGCTTCCGCCTCCTCCCTCACCCTCGCCAACACCTCCACAGCCTCCTCAGCCCGCTCCACCGGCACGAACAGATGATCATGGTAGAACCCGCTAACAGGGTTGACGCTGATGCCGCACCGCGCGAGCCTCGTAGCCAGCACGGCCATGAACCCGACGGCCGCGAGCGACGAGTGAACCGCGCACGTGATCATCCGGCAGGGGTACGTGTAGCCGTACGCGGACGTGGATGTGGATTCGGGGACGTTGTGCCTCTGCGCCGTCGAGAGGGGAATTACCAAGGTGATGGTATCCTTGGCGCCGCTGCTGTTTCCCGTTTGTTGCGGTTCGCGGAAGAACAGGCAGATATCTCCCAGAGGGACGGGGAGGAGGGAGTTGATGTCGCGGGACTTCTCGGCCGGGACGGGGACGGGGACGGGGACGGTCGCAAAGACGTATGTCTCTGGATGTAGCGTCGTGCGCAAGCTGGAGAGGAGGCGCGGGAGGGATGTTTCGCCGCTGTCCATTTTCACTCACTCACTCACACAGACACACGCAACACCAGAGAGAAAAAGAGATAGAGAGACGGATAGAGGGGACCCGATCGCCTCTGATTTCTTACTCCCGATGTCCACTTTTTTTTCTTCTCTTTATCCTCTCCTTGCCTTGCCTTTCCTTTCCTCTTTCTCGTTTCTCGTTTCTCTTCCTCTGGCTCCTCGCTCTGCCATGTGAAATTATTCCGTTGCAAGACATCTTATGTTTCGACAGAGGCTGTGGATATTCTGTCAGAGATTAGTCACGAATCCACCGTTGCGAGGCCAGTCAAGCTCTATGATACCTACTCACGTGATATAGCGCCGTCGAATGTCATTGTATCACGTGACGGAAGTGGTCGTTTGGGTGCTTGGAAGGAAAGGACATGGAAGAACACTCTTTTCGTTACGAATGAAACAGTAGAGAGGGCTATAGGCACTAGATGGGTCCGGGGTATCTACTTGTAGGGTGTACATATATCTGAGGGGGAAGGCGGGGGAGGGAAATGACCAAGGAAAGACTACTCTGTATCCCGAAAGCAAAGCCTTGATTCAAAAGTCATGTCCTTACTTGTTTCGCTGGGGACTCTTTATCATACTCTGCTGTTGCTGATACATACTATCCATGTCTCAATAGTTGAGCTTACGTTGCCTGTACTCTCAGGAAACACTCTGTCCGTGGGCTTGCCTCACAATTCGCTAAGAAACGGTGATAATAATCCAGGAACTAATAATCAGGAGACATCGGCCAGCTCTTTCCCCAGCCTGTTCCATTTTTGGTAATTTCGAGATAAACTTTCCCCCCCCCCCCAGTGTATTACGGCACGCCCCTCCCAGGAAACATCGTAGCATCGTAGCAAGTCCACGGGCAGGCAGGTAGGTAACTGGCTTGCCCCCGCCCGCATCTAGCTCTCACCCCAGCTCTCACCTCCAGTCCATTCGACACTGGCACTCGTAGTCCTCTGGCATCGATCGCTGGCCCAACCCGTACCCGCCGCCGTACACGTTCTCGGCCGCCATACGCAGCCTCATGGGCATGAAGCGGTCTTTGTAGTGCTCGATAATGTCGTGCTTCTCGACCGCGAATTCGATGTTGAAGTGCTCGTCCTCGACGGCCATACGCACGCACGCGCTCTCCTTGTCCTCGTTCCACCATCGGGGCAACATCCCCGCCACTTTGGCACGAGTGAGGAAGTCGCGGAAGACAGGGAGCGCGGGGTGCTGCCCGTAGATGCCATGGTAGTGCCCGCCGTAGGCATAGTCGTCGTCGCAGCGTAGGCGAAAGGAGTCGATCAGCATCTCGTACGTCTTGGGTTCGGTGTCGAATTCTTGAAAGAAGTTCACCATGCCAGAGTGAGGAGGGCGGAGGGATCCCATCCGGGGGTTGGTGTTGGTGTTATTACCAGCGCTAGCACCTGCTTCTGCACCTGTACCTGGTCGTCGACAAGCGGTTTTGTGTTGTGGCCAGTGGATTGTTTGACACTCTATCCAGCTACAGGTAAGTGATGCGTGGGCGAGGAAGGGGATGACAGACCTTTGGAGCAATAGGTCATCTTCTAGCAACGGCTACATCTCTTCAAGGCCGAGCCAGTGGGCAATTCGGTCTCAGCCTTGTTGCAGACCGCGCAGACACGCGGTTCAGCCGGTGGATTGCTAAAATCTGCCATGTGGTCTTGGTATTGAGTTTTGCTTGTCGCGTGGATGTAGGTGGCTGAGTGGGTACATATGGACGTTTGTAGGAAGCTCAAGTGTTAGGTTCGTGGCAAGGCAAGGAAGGGGAACGCGTCTGCCCGTACTCGGTACCGAGGCGCGCAGCAAAAGTATTGCCAACGCTAGTAATCGAGTGATGAGGTGATCAAAAGACAACAGACTTTATTTTCGTTGCCCTTACAACGGCCCCCGGAGATATTGGAGCTCAATTCTCAGTGCCTACAGCGTCTATCAAGATTGAGAATATAGTTAACGCTACCGCCTATTAGTTCTAACTTATAGCTAAGAGATAGGTATGAGTGCCTATAAGCTTAGAAAATCTTCTGTCATAGTAAGTAGCATTTGTCATTTGAATTAGCGTAAACGGTACTTTTATTGCGCGCCCTCGTACTTTGTACCGAGTACACCGCGTACGAGGCACCATGGCACGTGCACGCCAAGTGAACAAACCCTGTCACCAGGGGTGAACGGGCAAGTTTCCCTAACACAGTGGCCATGGAATTCTGACATCCCCTGGTGTAAGTGAAAGATGAAGTGACATTCCTTACAGCTGTCAAAATGCGGCCACTGCGGCCACTGCGGTCACTGCGCCTAGCCCAGCCCAGCCTGCGGTGTTGGGAGACACCGACACCCACAGAAGAGATAAAACCGCCCCAATACTATGTAGCAACTCTCTAGCTTGACTGTCACCGATCTACTGTCTAGGAGAGCAACATCTTGGACTCCTCCTGCTAATCTGACCACTCTACCTACCCCGCGACATCCTCCGGCTTGACCATCCCGCGCTTAACCATCTCGGCGAGCACGGGCGTCCCGTCGCCATAGAGTGTCATCGACTTGACCTTGAACCCCTTTGGGCCACTCGGATCCTTGACGCAGTTGAAGAGGAACGCGCCCGGCACGACCACATCCCACCGCCGCCCGGACAGGTCCTCCTTGGTCTTCTCGCCCGGCGCGGCGAGGTTGGCGAAGACGTGTGCCACGCCCATCATCTCCCACCCGCTTCCATCACCACGCTCGTACACGCAGCAGTACCGCGCCTGGTGGAGGTGTTCCGTGAACGGCGCGTAGCCGGCCAGCCAGCCCTGCCACGACGCCTCGCCGGGCGCAAAAACCGTGCCGTCGGCCTTGGTGAAGACGAAGTCGTCGGTGTGGTAGCGCGTGTAGGGCCCCGTCTTCATGTCGCCCTGGTCAAAGGCCTCTTGGTGGTCGAACAGGAAGTCGAGGACCGGGTGCTCGCGGAAGCTCTGGCTCTTGTCCGGGCTGTCGATGTGGACGACGTAGGCGGAAACGGTGGGTTTGGACATTTTTGCTAGATGGTGTGTCGACAAGCAAAAAAGATAGACTCGGTCTCTCAGGGGTGTTTGGAGTTTGAGATGAGAGAATACTGTCACCAGGCAGTAACGAGATAAAAAGGTAACTCCTCAACCGACCGAGAGCAGATGCGTCATGAGAAATAAATGTCACAGATATGTACTTTGATACCTACATACATACCTCTCCCCATCTCCCCGTATTCCTCTCCTTTGTCCCCCCCGCCTCAGCCGCACCGTTTCATTTCAGCCGTACTCACCTCTGTCCTCTGTACACTCCTCAGCCGCACCCTGCACCTGCACGCCGCACGCTTGTACCGAGCCACGTAGAACGGGCTTGACGAGTCACGACTAAAACCGCATCCCGCATTCGTCGCTTCCCGCGTACGCAGGCCCGTGGCGGGCTGGAGTGGAACAAACACAACAGCCACACCCAACCACTTGCTCTGAGGATGATGGCATCGCTCAAAGGCCATAGGTCGTCTTAGGCGCTGTGGCGTATCAGTCAGAAGACTGTCCAGCGGCATCGCCGTTCTCTGTTCCCCTTGTGTCGACTATGTACTCGTACTCGGTTATCGATATAGTAGTCTGGACGTCTGAACACGAGAGAGGGAGAGAAAAAGGAATTCCGTTCCGAGGGGCACAAATTCGAGGACAAACGAATCCAATTTGAGTAACAACCTATTAAATTTTCGCCGCTCACTCACTCACTCCGAATCGGGACGGGAGTGACGCCTTCCGATCCTCATAAAGTCAGTCGAATCGGTGACATGAAGCTGGTATTCTTACATGACTAGATAACCCGAATCCGTTTGCCAGAGTTGCCAGAGTTGTTGTCAGCATCCGAATCCAACCAGGAAGCTTGGAATATCCCCAATCCTATCCTGGTGTAATATCTCGCCTCCTCCACAACACAAGCTTCCTTACAAGCAATCTCCTCCACCAACAGGGCGATATATTGCGGCTCATCACCTGCTTTTGGATCGATTTCTTCAGGCTTGGATGGACGTGGGAAGAGGCCTGTGGCCGAGGCAATGATCACCGCGTGGACGACATCACCCCGGCTGCTACGTCTGTCGGAGCTGCACCCGTCGAAGCTCAACGCGCCGACAAGCTTGTTGTCATCCCTGACACCAATCCACGCGTCCTCGTGATTGGCATCGTCTAGTGAAAATCCCTGCTTTTTGCAGAGTTTCGCCTCGAGTTGGCAATGCTTTTGCTGAGAAACATGGATATATTTCGCGTATTCATCCACTTGTTGATAGTCAAGTTCGACTTTTTCCGCGCTGAACCTTTGGGGGAGGTCGACATAATCAATTTCTCCTTTGCGGCTCATCCAGGACCAAGAAGGAACGGGCTGTTGGGGATTTCCGAAGTCAATTTTCTTCAAAGGTTCCGCGCCACGTGTCCAGAGCAGCGTTTCATGAAGACGGGCCTGCAGGACACCGAACAGGCTGATGCTCTTGTAGTGCAACGCCAGTCTGTATTCGAGGCCTAGAATGGCAATGGGCATGTCACCCTCGCAGGTGAGGTTGCGGCGTGAATACTGCCTGTAGGTTTCTTTCACGAGCCCGGTCGAGTAATCGTGATCGCCCGGAAAGTCAGAACGAGCATAGATGTCGACGTGGCTTGTCAGTATGTCAGTGAGATGATTTGATGGTAGTATCGAAGTCATCGCGTACGTACGTGACAGGAGTTTCTTGACTCTCGCAGACGATAGAGTTCTCACACTCCCAGTAGGTTTGCTGTTTGGTGAAGTAGATCGAGTGACATGCCAAAGCACGCTCCTGGAAAGTCCATCCACGCGTGTTCCACGGCGCATCCAACACGTCATGAGCAAAGTCTGCACTTTTGTTCATGATTCGAAGAGAAGGCTCCTTAGTCCCGTTAGGTAGAGTAAACGGTGTTCCAGTCTCGGCAGAAGGAAGAAAGTTGCCATCATTGTTCAAGTCTGATACAGCGGCAATGACACAGAATGCATTGCTGAAGATGAGCTCCATTCGGCTGCACTCCTGGACCAGTTCTTCGGGGTTAGCTTGATCTATACAGATACCATCGATCCAGAGGTATTGCATCCCGAGCCTTCGAGTAACTATAGCTGCGTTTTGAAACTTGACGGGCAATGCGTCGAAATTGATGTCGGTGATGACATTACCACTCCAGAATCTGTCGACTTCTTTCCTCTCTCGCGCGTTCCATCGGTGGGAGAGTGCAACATATGTTTTCCCGCCTTCGTGCTGAACAAGTCGCATCGCGTTCACATCAATTATCCTCAGTGGCGCGGGGGGCATGCGTTCGTTGGTACCTGCGCGTAGCCTCCGCGGCTGTTGTGACAGATGGGGTAGTACATGGCTGTGGTTGCGATGGCATTCATCTATCCAACTATTGAGTAATTGGAAATAAATCCAGCTGCCCACTCGCGGAATGACTGTACGAATCAACTCAGCTGTATGCACGTCTCGGTGGGAGAATTGTTACCCACCTATTGGGCGGTCGTTCTCATCTTCACTCTCGCGAGCCAGCAGGTTGCATAGACCACACCCACTCTCGAGGTCGCCTGCGGTTGTGGAATTGATTCCAGCCATGGAGTGTATCAATTTGATCACTGGGATGGACTTGCATGGCTCACACAATGTTGTCTGCTGAAAGAATTTTGTGATTGCCTCAAAAGTCGGTGGCCGCGATTCCCATACGGCTCTGTTCTCCCATTGTCGACACTGCTGCAGCTCCGTCTCATCCATGTTTTCTGGTATCATCTCCTGGTTCAAGGCCCATTCATCCCGCTTCTCTAGGATCTGGTGCCTTTGTCCAGTCATTTTTATGACAGTGTCCCTGTCATTTTGGCGGCGCTCATTTAGAACAAGTCGTAACCTCTTCTGTAGGTCGTTGTATATCCTTTGGTATTTATGACCCCCAATCCTAGAAGGGGTCTCATCGAATTGAAGGAATCGCTGTAATCTCGTCGATTAGTTCCAAGACAAGGACATGTCGAGCCATTACCAGCTAGGATCAGGGGAATGAAATCCAAGCTTGCCTCAGTAAAAGCAGCAAACGCCATCTTCGAAAACACGGGTTTCGAGACCAGACAACTAGTTGGGATCCAATATAGCTAGATCGACCCCGGCTCTGAGTACTCAAGCACGAGGATATCAAGTGAATCCGCAATCACATGGGCGGAGGGGAGCAACGAGAGAGAAGAAGTGTAATCACAGACAGGTGGGCAAAGTTGCCTGAGCGCTGATGGATGCCTCCTTTAGAGGATAAGAACCCACACTCGCCCTTCCCATTGCGTTGTTGGTACATCGTGGTTGCCTAATGAAACAACCCTCAAGATTCGGGCGCTTCAACAACCAATGTAAGATTTTATCATTCTCCTCATCACGATAAACCCCGATTCATAGCAGAGAATCGATGGACTCCCCCCGTATTCTCGTCAACTGGAGCCGCCGCCTAGTCTCGAGGTGGGAAAAGTGTCAGCCTCATTTTGGGCATGAGTGCAGCGCCCCCTCGGGTCCATACAGTATTGCGACTTCTGGAGGTTCGGTAACACGAGTGATGGTGGCGTCCACCACGGGTTCACCATATGACCGAGTATGTGACTGGCGCTTTTCAAGCCGATCGAGTTCCGCGAGCACCTGTTACTCGGTACTCCATCTTTCGCTGCCCACAAAGGCTTCTTCATTGGGGTTGCGTCGCTCCAAATCATTGATAAGAATACCTAGTGCTAGGATGACTTCGTTCCCGTCGTTGATCCATCTACTCATAATCACTAGGTGTACTAGGTATCTCGTACATGTCTCTGCATCACATCATACCTCACACCCACATCCACATCCCCAGTCTATGTATGGGCGTGAGAGCCCGTCGAAATTAGATATCCTTCCGAAACCCCTCGACATCCTCAACATCCTTGGGCAACACACTTTCCGAAGGCACCTGATCGCTCGCCCTCCCCTCGGTGGCGTCCCATTTGGCCTGATACTCTGCCATGACTTGCCTGCTGGAAGCGGCTGCCTGCACAAAGTCCCTCACGCTGGGCGCGGGGACGAGATAATGCAGCGCGACAAACACCACGGCCGCGATGCAGAAGCCGACCAGGAAGGAAATGTAGTACAGGTGCGTCCAGCCCAGGGACACGTGGATGTCGTTGTTGACGTTGGAGATGAAGCCTGGCATCGAGGGGAAGACGCCGCACGCCCACTGCGATTCGGGTTGTTAGCTTCTCCAGAACAAGACTGCTCTTGGAGGGCGGAGACACAAAATCCCAAAAGAAAAAAGCGTCTGTACATACCGCTATCGGCGCCCGCCAGTCGATCCCATACGTGTACCAGTAGATGCTGGTCTTATCCCCTCGGTACAGATCGTCCACCTTGATCTTTTGGCGATGCACGACGTAGTACGATGAGATCATGAGCCCGATCATCGGCCCCAGGAAGACGCCATAGCTCGACAGCACAGCCAGGAACGTCGACGCCGTGGCGAGCAGCTGCCACGGGTTGACCGCCATGGACAGAATCGCCGTGATGTACGCCCCCCTGCGGATGTTAATGTACCGCGGGAATGTCGCAGCAAAGTCAAAGCCCCCGGACAGTGCGTTGCCGGGGACGTTGATCCCCCATTGCGAGATGACCAGCGCGGCACCTCCGAAAAAGCCCGCAGCTCGAGACCTGGATCCCCCCGCGTGCATCATGGCAATCATCAAATCGGGAAGACTCCACAGCGCAGCACCGTACCGCCTTTGCGTCGCCGCCGTCACGAGGATTCCGACAACAGAGCTGATGATGGAATACGTCGCGGCACTGACGATCTGACCCCAGATGGCATCCCTGGGCCGGCGGGCGAAGCGCGCGTAATCATTCTGGTTCAGGATCCCCGCTGCAATGCCTCCTATGGCGCTGATGATGCCGTACAGGACCGCCCAGCCGGTCGAGGTGTCTTGGGTCTGTGGGTGACCGGTAATAGTGTCGCCGAACCCGTCCATCGTGGCCAAAGCC